GGGAGACGTTTTTTGGTTGACTCGGGCTCCCAGAAGAGTCTTGAGAAGTCTCATGTCGTCTTTGCAAACCTCCACAATGGTTTATTCTTTAATCCTAAAAACAATTGGAGAATTCCTGCATACCACTAGAGGGAGCCCAAGTACCACCAGGGGTACGCGTACCACCGTTTGAGAATGACTGAATCCGCGCTAACTTGCTAACGGAGATTTGCTGGGTTAATGCAGTTATGTCGTTAAGGTCATTTTAAGGAGATTAACGCTGACAGCACTAATAAAAACACATTTCGATGCTTTTTTTTAATTTAAATGGTGTGAAAGTCTCAAGACATCTTATTCCTTTATATTTTGCTTCCAAGGAGTCAGATTTTTGCCAGACTTTGCGTTTTTCTCTCGTGTGCTGGCTCATGCACTGCCCACCTCACGTTTGGGAGACTGTAACACCATTCTCTTTGCTCTCCTCAAAAACAAACGTCTCAGTTGGCTCCAAATGGTACAGATGGTACATCTACACAAATCTGCACCAATGACTGTTGCACCCATTCTCAGCGTCACTATCCACATTGTATTCAGTACAATATTTTGGTTCTGACCTCCTTCAGCCTTAGACTCCTTCTCATGTCCTCTGCTCAGCTTCAGCTGCTCCTCACGTCAAACTGGACACGTCACGTGTTTGACTCTTTCGCTGCGCTGCACCTTGACTTTGAAATTCATTACCACACCTTCAACAGCTCGACTCTGACAGTCAAATCTCAGCTCAAAACTTGACGGCTTTCATTTGCATGTCAACTCTAATCATCCTTAACTTTTTGTGTTGTAGGGGCCAACAAATAAATATTATCGTTATTATAAACTGACCTATCAGTCATTCAAGCCTTATAAAGGTACCCAGCTCAAGGGATGAACCAATGATGCAGCTACACTAAACACACAACTTGGTAACTTTGGGCACTTTATTAGCAGCCTGTCACAACAAGGAAACAAAGTAATAATAATATGTTTAAGCTCAAATATAAGGCTCGAACCTGAGTCCATAATCATGACTCTTCATGTGCTTCCTGTGTGACAGGTCAACACTCTGTAAATCAAACCTAACACTGACTGACATGAGCAGCAGCCTACCTTGGTCCACAGCGTCGAGGCCTTTCCACAAGTTCTGAAAGCTCAGAATCAACACTGTACACATGAGCCTGTCCATGGCTTCACTGTGCTGTTTAAAACCGAAACAAACCTGAAACTTCCTGCATCAGGCCGGGTGAGAAAAACAGGATATCAGCTGATCAGCAGGTCAAAGTACAAACCGACTGCAGTTGCTCTACGCAGACATGTTGTGACACACTGCAGTGAGTAAAAGTGCAGACCGTCACATGGATCAGTATTTCCTGCTCTGCATGAAGTCTTACTGATATTTAAATGATTTTAAAGGAAGCTCTAAAGACAAACCTCTCTGCAAAAAGCAAAAACATAACGAGATTAACCACCTGTGTGGGTGTTTCCTGTGGTTAGTGTGTAACTTTTATTATACTGTCATTCAAAGCTAACGACGACAGCAATTCCTAAATCAGAGTAATTTAACTAAACACAGGCTGTGCAGAGAGCGCTATGCTGACTGGTGCACAGGGTCACAGCAGTGTGGTGTTGTCACCCTGCGTGGAAAAGCCTCGTCATCACCGGAGGCTCCTCGGTGCAGATAGTGATCCCACACAGCCGGGGACCGTCCAGCCTCCAAGATAACCATGCTTGTTCCAGTAGGAAGTGAATTCACTTTCACTGATGTAGTGCCAGATAGTTCACACTTCAGTCATCCCCTCTGATAAACACCAACGTATCAGAAAATGTGACATTGGTAGAGAAAAATTTGGTAAGTGTTTCATGGACCCTGCACAACTCACAGGTGCATTGTCCTTGTAACTGTGTTACTATTTATGGGCAAAAAAGAGAAACATTGTTACAACAGAAATAAAATCAACCAACACAAAGTTTAGTTCTTTTGTGGTAATTTTATGAAATGCAAAGTTTTTAAGTTTCTTAAAAATAGAGATGGTGAGAACTTCAAAGGAAGCCAGTACAGGAGAAGTCTGCTCCCTGTCAGGACTCACTAGCTGTGTCCCAATTCAGGGTCTGCACGCTTGAAGTACGCGCACTACGCGTGCGTACTATAAGTACGAGAAGTGCGGAAGTGAGAGGCTTGTGAAATGGGACGGTCTAGCCTTC